ATCTGGTAGGATAGATCGAATGTCTCCTACTTGTGATGAGGAGATAAGTACAAAATCTAGATTAAAGACACAACTTGTTGTGTGTGAATCGGATCTTTTAGAGAAGCTTGAGATGCCATCTGCTCAATCATCTCCTCCATCAGTTTCATCTCGTCCTATTCCATTAGCATCAAATCCGCCTGTGACTGTTGCTAATCCTCAAGTATTTCCTCCAGTACATACACAGCCACTCTCTCCTATAAATTTTGCTCCACATAAAAAGATACCAGTTTTCAAATGGGGAATCAAAAAATTTTCTGGAAATAGCTCAGTTATTGAATTTCTAGAAATTGTCGAATCTCTAATGTCTTCCCGTGGTTGCAATGAGATGGATCTCTTTGCATCTGCAGGTGATCTCTTTGAAGATGTAGCCTGGACATGGTGGCATAATGGCCATCTAAGAAATAGCTTTCATGATTGGCAGGACTTGATTAAACAACTCAAGGATGCTTTCCTACGTGACAATTATGATATGAACCTAATTGATGAGATTCGTAGACGCAAACAAGGTCAGCATGAACATGTTTCGATATTCATTTCGTTCATGGAATCTCAATTCAATAGATTAACCTACAATACATTTACAGAAAGGGACATGGTCAATATTGTCCGTAGAAATTTATTGCCTGACTTCATAAAGTCACTTGCTCTTCATGAAATTTCCACTTTTCCTGAACTAACATCACTTTGTAGGAAATTAGAGGATTCCTTCTTGACTTGTCAACCCCACAATAGACTTTCCACTTCCAGCTTGGTTACTTCTGATAGTACTCCATCATCTCACAGAAAAGCTCCTGTATGTTGGAACTGCGAGAAACTAGGACATTCTGTTCGAGACTGTAGAGCTCCTAAGGCTGTTTATTGCTATACCTGTGGTATGAAAAATGTCACACGCTCTAATTGTCCTTCCTGTTCAAAAAAACGTGAGGCAAGAAGTTTCCAATCCGACTCCCGGAACTTCTTTCGCCCAGACTCGAGGAGTCATAGACGTAAAGGGCAAAGCAACTCCAGGTCTCATTCTGAAGTCCAACAAATAGCCAAGTTAAGACAACCTTCAGCGATTAATCCCGATTTTGACATTAATCATTCACAACTTGCAGGTATGCCATCAAATGATCATTCAGAACCATTTATTCAAAAACCAAATGACAATCGTCCACATCTTTCAATATCCATTGGTGATGAAAACATTTTAGCTTTGCTTGATACTGGAAGCAATGCCAACATTCTAGGTTCATCTGGCTTATACTTATTACGTAAATTAAATCTCAACATCGATTACAGTAGTACCTTGCAAATAACAACTGCTGATGGCCAGATGCAGAATACTTTAGGTTTTGCTTTGCTGCCAGTAGGTTTTAATGGCAAAGTTCATGTCATTAAATTCATAATAGTTCCTTCCATTACACACACATTACTTTTAGGCATGGATTTCATCCTAAAATTCAATTTCAACCTTGATTTTCATACTTTTTCATATCAATCTTGTGCTGTAAATTGTATTCAAGGTGTGGAGAAGCTATCTAATATGGAAAAGGAACAATTATTTGAAATTGTTGAACTTTTTAATAGCATTGCACCTACTGACAGTATTGGTTGTACACATTTATATACACATCACATTGACACAGGTGATGCAAAGCCCATCAGGCAAAGACAATATCCGCTTTCTCATGTAATGGAAAAAGCTCTTATTAAGCAAGTTGATGAAATGTTGGACATGGGTATTATAGAACCTTGCAGCAGTGCCTGGTGTTCAGCGCTCTGGCTGGTTTCCAAGAAAGACGGTTCATATAGAGT